ATATACCACTCAAAGAGTATTAGATTGCATAATTAAGGAGATGTAAGAGCATACGGGGAAATGAAATTGAAACCTCTTATTTCACATAAAAATATGTATAAATCAAAGCACTTTTATAGCTAAACTTTTGGCATAGTAAACAAATCTAGAAAACATGAACGAATTATTAGATCTTTTTTTTTTTTTGCAATTTAATCAATGAATGTCCGGAATTCAACTGTGCAATGATGAAAGCTCTCAATAAACCTATCTCAGAGGGTTTTTTGTTTTTTGTTTTGAGATCCATCATAGTTAGGAAACCAAAAGAGACTTTATTAACAATAGGAACCCAAAAATAATTAACAAAGAAATTGATTCATCTTCAAAAAGCAAGTTGCATGTCTTCCTCATTAGTAAAAAGAAATGCAATAGATTGAGAAAAAGATGAACTACACGTGAGCACACGGAGGAAGGATTTTAGTGGAAGAGAAAGTGGGATAAAGGCTTGATGTTGTTGTTGTAGTAGAAGAACCTAATAACTTCTAGCCAAAATGAGAAAGAGACAAGGTAAGGCTAGCCTCAGAAAGCATTCCCAACATCTCGTAAGCAAGCTTCTTCTTGTGGTTAAGAGGAATAAAGGACAATGTGACTTATTGTGTTTGGTTAGAAGTAGGATTTATTATATCCTTTAAATCCAGAATTAGTCAATTTTGAGAGGATTAAAGCTTGAAAATTGTTTACCATAAAAATAATTAAATCTAATCTTGTTAAATCTTGATAAATTGTTTAACTATCTATTTCAGGATTTAAGATTTGAGAGAAGACAAATCCTTAAATGTATTAAAAATTCTGAATGATGAAATCTAACAAATTTTGAATTTAACCAAGAACAAAACTGAAACAGTGAAACATGAATTATCAGTACAATAGAATTTAGAATCCCAAAAATTATATTTGGTAGTATTTAAGCTAAATCTAAATCACGCCTAAAATTGGATAACAAATAGTCCCATAGATTTGAGGTTTTTGTTTCTTTTTTTTAGGAAGTTGCATGCATCACATTTGAATCTATTATATTTTGCATACTATCCTAACACTTAAGTCTTTAAACAATATCAAATAATTAAGACTCACCATTAACACTTCTCATATTTTGTCTCCTTGTTGCAATTCCAAAGTACCCAAAAAAAAAAAAGACTAGTGGAGCTGAAGATGTGAGACTCCTTTTCGTGACTTCAATAGTGACTTTTCCGCTTGTGTGTCTCCATTGTGAAATCTCTATATGTGATAATCTTGACCACTAACCCCACCTCACGCATGGTTCGCTCCCAAATGACACAACATTTTGCTCCTCATGTAATTTCCACTCACAATACAAAAGCAAACAACCACTCGCTCCCTCTATTCATTCGAACTCAACCGCATAAAAGAAACTCCATTAGTTCAGATGGTCTCTCCCTAACTCGTATCCCTACTTGTCGTGCGTCTCCAATTGAAGCTGCACATAAGAATAGGAGTCGAACCCCCTCATCTCTCGCTCGATCTCCCTCCATACACGCGCCTTTGTCCCGAAGCCCAAGCGTGCTTCAACATCCCACGGCCAGGCTCCCCTTCTCATCCACACTTTGTCCCGACCGCTGCACGCCACCAGCCTCCGGCTCGACCTCCTGCATGTGACCCGCGTCTACTCCCATAACTCCGACCCAACTCCCTCATCCTATTTGATTTCACTCCCTAGCACACTGTCCATTCCGCCTATGATTTGAGTCCACCCCGTCCGCTAGCACCGCTTTCGTCTTCTGTTCCCCATGAGTGTGTGTATATATATATAAAGTATAAAAAATAAAGATAGGAGAAGAAAAAAAGAATATATATATATATACATATCCATGTAAAATAGAAAAAATGCAAGTATCGAGCAATTGAAGATTGGAAAACTTGTGTTGGGAATAATCTATCCTGAAGCTCTCACATCGTTATATCTTTTGATCTGGCCGAATGGCTTTGGATCGTCCTGGACGGTTCCCAGAACTATTCTCAGGCCAATATTTTCTACAGTGCCGATCGGCCTGGACGATATGTACAGAAATCACCTGGAGCAAAACTGGGCAAATTCTGGAGCAAAATTTCCACTGATCGTCCCAGGACGATTCAGATCGTCCTGGACGATCCTGGAGCAGATTTTTGATATTACAGTATATACTTGTGTCGTGTTCTCTAACATGTTTTTTCATAGGCTACACTTCATCTCAAAATACACTTTTGTCGTGTTCTCTACCTTGTGTGTTCATAGGCTACACTTCATCTCACAGAGTCAATCTCCATCTCCGAGATTTCGATGGTGACTATCGGAGTGGAACATATATGCCACCAAAGCCCGCCATTTTTAGTGAGACAAGATACAAGTGCCTAGAATTTACCATAAGCGCAGAGCATGAGCGGAATTGAGGCCAAACCTTTTTCATCCCTTCGCGTATAGAAGAAGAGTTGGAGATAAAGCTTGATTGGAGATGGATGCTCTAAAGTCCAGCGGCGATGTCCATCTTTGACGAGGTTGAAAGGAATCAGCTCTCAAAGATTTCACAAATTGTCAAAGAATCCTGATGATTGGTGGGTGATTACAGCCAAAGAAGAAGTTGAAATTAGGAGTTCCTTCAGTGGGACACATTTTTCATATGCTTTAGTGCTGTTCATTTGTGATTTAAATATTATAATGCAATTAAAGTTGTGGGCTCCATCGGGACACTTCTCCAACTTATATATATATATATATATATATATATATATATATATATATATATGAGGGTGACAATGAAAGCTTATACCCATGTGATTACAAAATTAATAGTTACTTTGTATTGACAAAAATTTTAAAATTTATTGTTAAACTTATCACATCATTAATAAGAATGACTAAATCTCCATATACTTGTGTCGTACTCTCTACCATGTGTGTTCATAGGCTATAATTCATCTCACAAAGGTTGTTAGTGCTACAAGTCAGTCACTCGCAAGATTATTTTTTTCGAACATGTTTTTTTATGAGCATAATTTTCTTTTTCATCAAACAGCACCACATTTCTTTAGGTGCAGCCAACTACCATCCCACCACTCACTCCACTTCTCACGTCCTATGTTTTGTCCAAACTGCAAACCAAAGCTGCTCCTTCAAACTATACATTTACTCTAGCACCCACATCCTATGTTTTTGCTTCACCATCCACTACCACTTCCTCTCAATTGGGATGTTGTCTTTGTTTCCCCACGCAACTCAACTTCCCCACCATTCTCCTGTGTTCCACTTGCTCCTCCAACTCATTCAATTCAAACTAGATTCAAAATAGGATCTCTGAAGCCCAAATATATTTTCGATTTGCAACAAACTCTAAATAACACCTTTGAACCCACTTTCTATACTCAAGTAATGCTATTTTTGATGAATTCCAAGCTATATGCAGCAACAAGGCATCTGGACACTTATTTCTTCCTCTCCCCATCATATTCTCAACTATATGTAGATTTTCAAAACTGAATTAAATTTGAATGGCACTGTTGCATGCTACAAAGCTCATCTAGTTGCTTAGGGGTCCAAATAAGAGCAAGGGATTGATTACAATGAGACTATTAATCAAGTTGTCAAGATGCCTTCTATTAGAATTTTGCTAACCATTGCACTGCAACAGAATTGGAAAGTCATTCAACTTGACGTATCCGACGCATTTCTTCACGGCAAACTCAATGAAGCTATCCACATTACTCAACCCTCCGGCTTTTTCGATTTTCGATATCCTCATCATGTTTGTTTACTTCACAATGCTCTGTAGGGACTCAAAATAACACCACGATAATGATTTTCTACTTTATCTAGACTCTAGTTAATTTATTTGACTAGTCTTTAAAGCAAGCACAGTTAATCCATCGTTTTTTACTTATCATCAAAATCAAGTCTTTATTTCTATTACCATACATGTAGATGACATTCTTATTACCGGAAATAATCCCTTTGCTATCTTAGTCATTATTTAAAAGTTGAATCAAGAGTTCAAAATGAAGTAACTTGGTCTTGTTTCCTACTTTCTGGGAATTCAGATTATTCCTACATCTCAGACTTTCTTCTCAATCAAGCAAAATATGCAATGAAATTCCTTAGAAATCACTGTATGGCTGAATGTTAGTCTATTTACAATCCTATACCCTCCATGCATTTTCCGAGTGCAACTCTCACAAGCCCAATCAATATAGCCAACCAGCCAATTCGTTGAAGTATATCATGATTGGGTGTGCTTGATATTCCCTTTGCGGTCAATCAATTCTATCAACACATGCATCATCCTCTAAAAAGTCATTTTCAACTTTTCAAAAGTATTATTCGCAATAACATAGGCACTATTATCTACTATTTGTCAAATCAAAAAGAATCCTTAGCACTCACTCCTACTTACATTCGATTTGGGCAAGGGATCCCCATGGTCAAAAAAACACTATTGACTTTTGTTTCTATCGTGGTAATACAGTCATTTCCTAGAGAGTGTGAAGTAACAGCAAACCGTCACGTGCTTATCAACAAAAATTGAATATCATGCTCTCGTCATCATTGCAACTAGCATTATTTGGCTCTGTTGTCTTCTTAAGGAATTCAACATCCCAACATCTCATCCTACCCTTCTTTTCCATTATCTCTACTACAATGCTCACGAATAATCCATTTTTTCATGCACGAACCAAATATACTGATAATGGCTACCTTTTTATCCAAGAGTATATACTCTCCAATGAAGTCACAGTTTTCCAAGTCAACTCCAAAGATCAAACAGTCGATCTTTTCACTAACCTCTCTCCACAACTCAACTCCTCAAGCTACGAGAATAGTTGATGATCCAATCATAGACTACTACTAATCTCCCCTTCTGGTAAATGCATATGGTACAGGCACCTCCTATATCAAAATCTCCTTAGCCATATTCAGATACAACAAACAGACCAAATCACACCTGTTAATGAATAACAAAACTCTGCTCCACTAACAAACCTTCTCATTCTCTAGTATATATACAATGTAATAGCTATACGAATGTTTGAGGAGATTAACATCAATTACAATGTAATACATTACTGCAAATCTTAGTAGCTATTTTTCCCTTGTTGCCTATGGCTCTTCTTTATTTCCCTTGTATGCTTGATTTTCACCGTCATCAGGCTGCCCTGAACAATGTTTAAAAAAGGTACAAAAAGCATTGTGAATACATAATTAGCAATTCATGTAACACTCAACAGAACTGAGGGAAGAATATGGACTTACAATGCATAGCCCAAATAATTGTGATAGGGCTTAATGATGATGAGGTAGATGGATAAATACAAAATCCAGTGTACGCCTTAAAAACTAACAAGAACCCCATAAATATTAGATAGAACATCTTGAACAGAGTTTTATATGTAAATCTTGCTAAAAGCGCAGGAATTACTATAATTTTCTGAAAACTAGTAATAGAGATCAGTGAAGAATTCCGAACTGGGTGTCTAGCGAATATCAAGAAATTCATAAATGCAACAAAAATAATAATCATTTTTAAAACTGAACAAGTTAGAAATGTACTCACTTGTGAATTGCCTACATCAACATTTGGCTAAAATAGAAAAATAGATTGTCGTCTAAAACAGGTAATGACCATCCTGAAAACGTGGAATTTAACTGGATCAAAACATCATATTTTGGGAAATGGAGCCGAAAACTCTGGCTTATGTTATAGAATTGGCTCTTATTGAACCTTTAAGGTACATCATTGCAAAAGACACGAATCCAAATTGACAAAAACTCAAGAAAGGAAGGTCGTTAGGGTATTATTGATGGGGAAGAGATCTTATACCACCAGCCGCCATGAATTTCATCCTATCAAGTAAGAACAAATATGGAAATTGTTTAGTGAGAGACTCCAGCGCAAACGGAGTATATAGGGATTTACTTTAGGCGAGTGTAATTTTCACTATGATTAAAAGTTCGAAAATCTTTGACATTTTCTGCATATTAAAAAAATTTGAATTTTATGTATCATATTTAGCTTTGGACTATGTAGAGGTTTACATGATCAAAATAAATAAATATAAATTACATATATAAAAAAAACACCGGGTCAAAATATTTTGATCTATTTTTAAATTAGAATGAATTTAAATTTATTTAAAATTTAGTGTAATATAAATTTTAATTGATTGCTCATGTATTATAGTTATTTCAAATTAAATTCAACAAATTTTAAGATATATTATGATCAATATTTTATTAAATATGCCTACTCTTAGAAATTTCGCACAATTGGCATTAGAAGTCAGTTGGTCTAGACCCTTAACTTAGCTTTAGAAGTTAGTGAGATTTTTCAGCCACCTCTAAAGATTACCACCACCAAGAGAGCAAGACCATCACCTTGAGAGGGGGGGTGGGGGCGGGGGTCCCCGGTTAGTGTCAGGCCATACCACTACCCTCAGATTTAAAAAGATGATATTGATAAACTAGTCAAAGAGATGTTGAAGGCAATGAGCATCAAGTCGAGTGTAAGCCCTTTTTCTAGCCTAGTCTTGCTGGTCAAGAAGAAGGATGACAATTAGATATTTTGTGTTAACTATAGGGCCTTGAACAAGGAGATTGTTCCAGACAAGCTCCCCATTCCAGTGATAGATGAGTTGTGTGAAGCAATAGTGTTCACAAAGATTGATCTGAAGTCAAGCTATCATCAAATCAGGATGAGAGAGGAGGATATTCCGTTAATTGTATTTAGGACTCATGAGGGGCATTATGAGTTCCTAGTGATGTCTTTTGGCCTCACCAATGCCCCTGCTACATTCCAATCCCTCATGAGCAAGGTGTTCCGACCATACCTCAAGAGTTTTGTATTAGTTTTCTTTGATGACATTCTGGTGTACAGCAGATCAGATGAGGAGCATATGGAGCACTTGAGGGTGGTCTTAGAAGTGTTAGAATGCACCATCTGAAAGCCAACATGAAGAAGTGTTGTTTTGTACATGACAATGTGGAATACTTGGGGCATGTGGTATCTCGGGAAGTGATGGCTGCTGATCAGGCCAAGATTGAAGCAATGTTGAAATGACATCTACCTAGGAATATGAGATATCTAAGAGGATCCTAGGGTTGATGGGGTACTACAAAAGATTCACAAGGGGATACAAGATCATAGTCTATCCCTTGACTTAGCAGCTGAAGAAGGATGATTTTTTGTGGGGAGAGGCGGCTACCCAAGCCTTTGAAAGACTGAAGAATGCCATGACGATGGTACCCGTGATGGCCCCACAGAATTTCAGCCAAATTTTTGTGATAGAGACCGACGCATCAGAGTATGGTTTAAAGGTAGTGCTCATGCAGAATCATAGGCCCATAACTTACTTCAGCCAGGTGTTGACAGTCAGGGCTAGACTGAAGTCAGTCTATGAGAGAGAGTTGATGGCTATTCAGAAATTACAGCCATACTTAATTGGTCGACATTTCATTATCAGAACAGACCAGAGGAGCTTGAAGTACCTGATAGAGCAAAGAACGGTGACCGAGGAGCATCAGAGGTGGTTGTCAAAGTTGATGGATTATAACTTTGAGATGCAGTATAGGCCAGAGTTAGATAACAATGCGGCTGATGCCTTGTCCAGATACATGAGAGAGCTTCAGTAGTTAGCCATATCGATATGACTAATGCTGGATTGGGGGCTATTAAAGAGGAGTGCTTAATGAGGAGCGCATAATGAGGAGCTAGGAAGTATTAGAGAAGATTTAATGAGGGATGAGAATAGCCACCCTGGCTAATCCCTAGAGGGGGAGAGACTTCTATACCAAGGAAGATTTGTGTTGCCTCAAACTTCGGTCCATATTCCACACATGCTGCAAGAGTTTCATGGAAGTGTTGTTGGGGATCATTCTAGTGTGCAAAAGACATATAGGAGATTGATAGCTGATTTATATTAGAAGGGGATGCACAAGGATGTGAAAGAGATGGTAGTTAGATGTGATATATGCTAACGAATCAACTACATGACTATAGCTCTGCGGAGGGAGGGAGTGGTTACTTCAACCCCTAGCTTTACTGGATAAGGTGTGGGAGGAACTTACCATTGAATTTATAGATAGGCTACCTTGATTTGGAGGGTTTACAGTGATTTTGGTAGTAACTAACAGATTAAGCAAGTATGCCCACTTCATTCTCCTACGACAATCCTACACAACAGTGACAGTGACACTGGCAGCAGCATTCAACAATGAGGTGGTCAGACTGCATGGGATACTGGAGTCTATAGTGTCCGACCGAGATAAAATGTTCCCCAGCCATTTTTGGAGGAAGTTATTGAGGCTGCAGGGGACAATACTGAAGAGGAGCACTGCTTACCACCCTCAAACAGACGGGTAGATGGAGATGATTGATAGTAGCTTGGAGGCTTACCTATGATGCTTCGTTTCAGAGACCCCTCGATTGTGGGCCAAGTGGCTATTATGGGCAGAATATCGATACGACACTTCATATCATTTTGCATCTAGATGACTCCTTTTAAAGTGTTATATGGAAGGAATCCACCTCACCTAGTGCATTTTGGGCAAAGTTGTTGATGCGGAGCATCTTAACTATAATATACCTTAGGAATGACATATCACTTATTACCTTTCTATTAGATGTTTTGCTTTCCACCATGCTAGTTACATTTTTTATTATAGAGAATACGGCTCCTAACTCCACTTAAGATGCTCGAATACCTTTTCAAACCTGTTCTCAGCCACCGTTGGATCTCTGCTACAACTATCTAGAACATTGCTTTATAATTGTTTTTAATTCCTTCTCTTTAAAAATGTATTATTGTAACTCTACTTGGAAAATAGATGAATTTTATGATATTTTGAAGCTTTTAAGCTTGAGTTGGTTCCTTGTTCTATATTTCTTCTAGCATATCCAATTCTTCTACCGATCCACTACATCAGTAGCACACCATTTTCTTCTGTGGAACAATACTTGGAGTAGTGGGATAGGGTGCTGGAGGAATTAAAAAGGAATTTGATAAGGGCTCAGTTGATCATGAATAAACAGGCAGATGGGTATAAAAAGGACATCCAGTTTGTGATGGAAGAAATGGTATATTTGAAGCTTCATACAGACAGACAAAGGACGATAACCAACATGAAAAATGAAAAGCTGGCTCAAATGTATTGTCCCTTACGAGATATTGGGAGAGGATCAGAGATGTGGCTTACCGATTGAAGTTACCCCAAACTGCTAATATACATCTAGTATTTCATGTCTCACAATTGAGAAGAGTTATTAAGGATCATGCAACTAGTTTAGAGTTATTGGTGACACTAACAGAGGATCTGTAGGTGGTATTAGAACCGCTAGAGTTAAAAGGGGTACAACAGGGCAAATGAGGGATCAAAGAGGTGTTGGTCTAATGGAAGAACGTCCTAACTATGATGCCACTTGGGAGCAATACGAAAGAGTGAAGCATAAGTTTTCATCTTTCCACCTTGAGGACAAGCTAGCCGATCCGTAATGGACCGGCTCTAGTTCCGCCCAAACAGGTTCCGCCTCCCAAGCGTGGGATCAAACCGACGACATTGAAGAACAAATTAATGAGGTTTAGGAGGGAAATTTGAAAGTAGGAGATGTTTAGCAATTTCATTTTTTCTTGTATGCCTTAAGCAGAATGTTTTCCTTAGGGTTAGGTATCGAATGTTTTTGCTGAATTTAGTGTGTTCTTCGCTGTTTGTCTAGAGATTGGGAGAGCCGGATCTTCCTCTCAAATTAAAGATCGATTGTATCTTGTCTGTGTTCATCCATCTTTCATCAATTCAAAGGTTTCTGAAGTGTTTGGATACAAGTTTTCTTTTCTATTTCTATTTGCAATTTGCTGAAATTCCAAATTCAGCCCAGTTTTCTTCTATTTCTACTAGTGTATCCTATCAGAAAAGTCATTTACTTTAATCATCACAGTTTCAGAATCTATTATTTCTCTAATTCTCTTCAACAATCTATCAGATACTTCAGAACTATAACGACGATCAATTATTTTGAACCTGGAAGAATACAAAAATTTCAAAAGCAATGCAACTATCAAGGAACGTTAATAGAAGACAGAGTAATGAAACCTTTACAATTAACTCCGAACCTTATTTTTAAAGATTTTAGATGCCAATATGTCTGCTACTATTAAAATTATTTCTATATATATAATATATATATATAAAGAACTACATCTTGGTCTTTTAAATGCAGTCTCATATTTTTCTCGACTTCTTAAAGGGATATGAGAATTACAAAACTAATGTACACCAATCAACTGTTGGATTTGCAACCTCAAGATCCTCTCATTAATTCGAAGGATAAAGCTATTAGTGATAAACTTATTAATTCTTACTTTTGGGTATTTAGGAAAATTCGAAGGGCCAAGGCTGAATGGCTTTCTTGTGAAGCGTGAGGATGACGACCTCCAATTCTTATATGGTAAGCTAAAGGGAAGGAAGAATTATAACTTCATTAGAGAAACTTTCACCTCTTATGGAACTGTGCTTTTCTCCAGGCATTGTTAATAATGTCATTCTCCACTTTAAGGATCTCTTCAACACTAGAAACACCTCTAGCAATCCTTCTTTTGATCTTTCTGTGGGCAATACTATACCTCTTAACCCTCTAGCTAATTTTGATGCACCAAGCAACAATGAAGATACTAAAATGTAATGTTCTATACTACTACGAATATGGATCCTTAGTCTGATGGTTTGCTTTTGAATTCTTGGCTAAATTTTTGGAGGTCATTGGAAGTGAAGTCTACTCAATTGATCACCACATTTTGCATACAAAAAAAAAACTAGAAATATGAAGGCCATGAGCATTGCACTAATTCCCAAGAACTAATATTTCTACACTTTTTCATATTTCAAACATAAATCTCTATACAACACATTATATGATATTGTGATTAAAATTCTTGCCAACCGCCTAAAATTTGTTGTGCCTTTAATTATTCACCCTAATCAAGAGGGTTTTCTTCAAAATAAAATATTCATTGATAATATTATTCTAGCTTATAGGAATGACCTTTCTTTATTAGATTTAAACGAGAATTTGACTTTTAATAGGACACAATGGAGAAAAAGGATTCATGTAGCCGTCCCCACGTAGTGGGATAAAGGCTTGATGTTGTTGTTGTTGTTGTTGAATATTATTCTAGCTTATGAGATTCTACATGAATTATATAATAAAAGATATGGAGATGTTATTTTATGCTAAGTCATATATCATAAAGGCATTTCACACTATTAGGTACTTCCTCCTCTACAAATTGAGTAAGAAAAGCGTTCCCCTTTTTTATTGATTGGATTAGAGTTTGTATTGAGGATGCCCACTATATTTGTATCAATTGTTCCTTGGTAGGTTTCATTAATTCCACTTATGGACTTAAATAATGATGTTATCTATATACATACCTCTTCTACGTTGTGATGCAAGCTCTTTATAATCTCTTTGATTGGTAAATTGTCTCAAGTGATTATGTTGATGTTACTCTTGAGAACCATGATTTCTCATATATGATTTATGCAGATGTTCTGATCATCATTCAAAACTAAAACCTCCAAAAATATCTCCACCTATGAACATCATTCAAAGATATGTATGTATGTATGTATGCACTCTTTTGAAGATTTTCAAAGTCATCAGGACTTACCTCTAAATGGTGGTGTGCTAAACACTACTCTTTATGAAAAAATTCTCATGCTCAAGACTTCCCTTTTTGGAGAAAAAAAACTTAATGAAGTTGCTTCCTTTTTTACGGCTAAATTTCATACATTAGTAGTAATGATCACTGCATTATCATATTTTGAGACCCATGTGAAACACTTTGATATGGGAGTTTTTCTTCTCTACACCTACTTTCTAATTCTCCCCTAAGCACAATTATTGTCAATTGCAATTGGGATTACACTGCAATATTTAACACCATTGCTTTGATAAACCTCACTTTTGAGAGCAGGGACTCTTTGGTGTGGGATGGTAATCTAACCCTTCTTTTAAAGATTTTCTTAAAGCATTCTACATTAATGTTGTGAAAGTGGACTAGCATTCGTATACCTGGCTTGAACTCTATGCTTTAAGAGAATCATATTTTGCCTATATTTACATGATGAATGGACTATGAAGTGAGGCTATGCTTCATGCTCATAGCATCAAGGTTCAATTGGTTTGTAGTTTCTGCAATGATCTTCATGAACTTAAAAATCACATGTTTTCTCATTGCTCATTCATTTTCTATCTTCCACTATATGCTTGCTCTGGAGCTCCTTTTTTCTATTTAGACCAACCTCTATCATGCTCTCTCTTATATCTATGATATGATGGCAACCTCTAATATTATTAAAATTTCTTTTACCTAGTTTATCACATATAATGTGAAATACATGACAGGAGATTTGTCAATAATATTGCCATTTTCACCTATATTATACAAAATTCAAAGGCTGTGAATTCAAAGGTTTTTGGATTAAAAAAATACTATTAAATATAGACCATGGTTTTATGATTCATTTTTGGAGTTATTTTTTTACTGCTTTTACCAAGATCCATTCTATTTGAGATTTCTTGCTAGACAATGATGAGATCTCTATCCATCTTGCATGAAAATTTCTTCACACACAAGCAAGATAAATCTCCTTTTGATCTTCAATACTCTCCAATTTCCACCAGATCGTTCTCAATAACCGTGGGATGAGTATTTGTAATCATTTAATTTGCAATGTTCCGAACTCGAGCCCGGTCACTTGTATTTGATCTCCTTTCTCTGCCTTCTTACTCATATAGGAGTTTTCTTTTTCATTAGATTACTAAGATGTTATCCTCATTGTATAGGATTTTTGCAACTCTCTCTGATCTTACAACTGTAACTTATTTTATAATCAATGAGATTGAGCCTCAATTACTAAATTTTCTCCAAAAAAAAAAAAAAAAAAAAAAAAAAAAAAAAGAAAGAAAGAAAGAAAGAATAGTAACATAAAAAATAAAATGATAAAAAATAGCCATAAACCCAACCCTACGATTAGCTTAAACGGTGCAAATAAATCCCTAAACAAGCGGGCAATCAATAATTGACCCAGGCTTGGAAAGTGGGACCAACCAACGCAGTTTTACCCAAAATTTTCTACGAAGGCATTGATCATAGCCACTGAACGACAAAAAATATTCAAGTTAGTGGACGTATTTCCAGCCGTAGCTTGATAGGCTTTTGCAATCATGTCCCTTCCACCCCCGCTAATTTAAATCCCCACCTTTCATAAATCTCCACCCTTACCCGAAACCTCCAAAAATAAAATAAAAGCTCTGCATCCATCAAAGGTATAGGATAGCCGACGGCAATCTAACATCAAGGAAAGAGATTAAGGATGGGGGCAACAATAGCTGACAAAGATCGAGCGATAATCTTTACTTACGGTACGCTGAAACGAGGATTCTCCAACCACGGGCTGATTCACGATATGATCCTAGCCGGCGATGCTGCCTTCCTCGGCAACGGCCATACCGCCGATCGATTCCCCCTCGTATGCGGTCCTTACGGCGTCCCCTTCCTCATCAATATTCCCGGCTCTGGCGAGCGCGTCAGCGGCGAGCTCTACGCCGTCTCCCGCCGTGCGGTCTCTCGCCTGGACGAGCTCGAGGGCATCTCCCATGGTCACTACGAGAGACTCCCCATCATTGTTCATCTCCTGACCGGCGGCGAGGGGGAGGAGGAAACGGGGTTGGTCGTGGAGGCGGAAGCTTACTTCGCGCATCGGAGCTTTGGCGAGGAGATGTGGAAGAGGAATGGGGAGAAGGGATTCTGCGCTTATAGTTCCGATGAGGCGATTGGGTACGTTAAGCGGAAGGATAGGCCGCAGGACATCACATTCCTTGATCAGATTCGGATCTTCGTCTCTTCAGCAATGGATTAGTTAATTGGGAAATGGGATTTGTCACTGATCGCCTTCGCATTTCCGACTTGGTATCGTGTGGTTTTCTGCATTCTTATTTTTTTTTCGATTTTATTTCACCCCACCCCCCTCCATTAATGTATTTTACGGATTTGTCCTGCTTATAACTTTTGTTTGGGCTAGTGTAATTTGTTCAGCTACTAATCTAAAAATAAATATTCATCCGGTCTAAGGTAGAGAATTATTTGTGAAAGGATCTGCCAGAGTAGTTAACGGAGATACTTATTTATCTAAGATTATCAAATTTAAGTGACATATATTAACGATTTATTATTCATTCTATAACACAAATCTGCTTTGTTTTAGGTGGGTAATTCGCTATTGCTCAATCTGTGCTCAACAATCTCTGTATGGTTCGAGAAATTATTTTGTGTGAAGGCCGGGCGTAGCTCTATGTCCGAAGATGAATCAGGTGCAGCCACGTCAGTGGAAACGAGCGGCATCAAGCAATGCCGAACCACGGTACACAACAAAGGGATGACGTGACGCATTCTAATTTGTCTCCGGACGAAGTTCGGCATCTACGTACGTAGAATAATTAATCATGTGGTTCAAACTCAAAAGATAGAAATATTTAAATTAAGGCCTTTTGATATTTGTAACATTTTTAATCATCGAATGTCTCCAATCTCCGTAGTGAGGTCTTTCACCAGCTTCACATCCTAGCTTACATAATCTTTGCTTTTTAGTAGATTACACAAAGATGGGGTCGAGTAATATTAGAAAAACATAATTCATTTTTTTTATTTATCAACATTCATATCACCATAAACACTTAGTCTTTCCTTCAAAATCATATCATCATAATCATATATAGAGACATATTAAGGTTTTGTTTGAGACTACTTTTTACTGCTTTTTAAGGCAGTTTGTTTGTATAAAAATTTATAATGATACATCACCAAAAGTAGTTTTGATCAGGCACGAATCTCAAAGCAATCTTGTATTCTAAACTTTTAAATTAAAATTCGAGAACATTTGAACTCCGATTTTAACAAACTTATAGCCAAATTAAACATCTCAATTAGACAAACCCAATGACATAAAATTCAGTTCAATCCGAGCCCAAATGAGCGCAAACCAAAAGATCAAAGCATTCTTGGAAGTTTCAAAGCATTAATTGGATGACTATATGATACTCAAATATGTCATGCTTATAGTCGAATCAAGCGGCTCGACAAGACAAATCCAGCAAGCCCAAGATCACTTAATTCTGATATCATTAAGGCACTTAAATGCTTTATAAATACTTTATAACAAAGGGAGACAATATCAGTTGTCTGATGGAACATTCTCAACCTACTCTTGATTTTCTCCATATTTACTACTAATGTCACTCCCAACAAATTATAAATAACCCCTCATTCTTCACATGAGGGGAGCCGGAGCATAGGAAAAAAGGAGAAAACTAAATAGCTCTCTTGCTCCCATCATCCGACTCTGCTACAGCCGATTCTTGTCGACCACTGTCACTCACTGACTACAGTCCCTCCGACCACCATCGTTCGTCAACTACGGTCCATCCAACCACCTCCACGCACCGATTATGATCCTTCGGACAACAATCAATGTCCATCAACAACTGTCTCTTCGACCACTTTCGACATCTACTACAGTCCTTCCGATCATTATCACCTGCCGATTATGATCCTACCAACTAAACAAACATGTCAACACTCTCTTACGTACAATTGTTATGTTTAATATGTTTTATATAATGTGTATTTACTATATTAAACCATTATCCTACTATGTGGAAGAGCATCATTTGTAAGTAACTACAAACATTAGTGGATTCATTCAAGCTAGGCAAGACCTGTAATTTTTCCCTTTTTCAGGATTTTCTATGTAAAAATATTGGTGTCTCTTATGAATGTTGCACCCATATTCTCTATTATGTCTATGTGATAAATTTTCATACAAATCTAGGACGCTAAACTTTATATCTCTCTACAACCACAAATATTTCAGAATGCAACAAAACTAAAATGTTTTTTTTTAAGTAGTAAGAAAAATGTCACAAACAGAGCCTAAATCAACAAATTAATATATATATACTCAACTAAAATATAAAGTCCTTCGTTCACATCAATTATAAAACCATATCACCTTCTCACCTTCTCACCTTCTCACTCAATCAGGGCCACCTCTATTACCCTCTCAAACTCTCATACCGTCACATCTGTTGGTTACTAGGCAAAAGATGGGTAAACCTACTATCATATTAAATCTGTTTCACCATCAAAATACTCATGATTCAATTCTTGATCCTACATCATACACAGAAGGCATGAAACACCTTGAATGGTGTAAAGCCATGGCAAATGAGTTCCTTGCACTCCAAAAGCAAGGAACATTGAGTCTTGTCAAACCACCTTCTGACTAATCTGTTTTAGGTTGCAGGTGGACATGTCGTACAAAAATTCACGCTAATGGTTCGGTTGCCACTCACAAAGCTCATCTAGTCGCATAGGAAAATCATCAAGAATATGACATGGACTATTCAGAGACATTCAACCTAGTTGCTAAATTACTTACAATTCATATACTTTTGACAATTGCACTATATAATAACTGGCCAGTTCAGCAATTGGATGTCGCAAATGCTTTTCTACATGGAACTCTTTTTCAAACAGTTTATATGATACAACCATACATTTACTTCATATCTGGTGTCATTGGGATTATCGCATAATCAATCAGATCAATCTCTTATAATCCTTCGTCAATCAAATATTCAAATATTCTTACTCATGTATGTTGACGATATCCTAATAATAGACAATAATCAAGACGGCATCACAAAAATCTTGGATCAACTAGACAATAAATTTATAATGAAACATCTTGGAGAGGCAAATGAATTTCTCGGCATAAAAATAGCTCACATCAAATAGCAATATTTTCTATCTCAACAAAATATGCTAAATATATTCTCCAACATGCAAAACTCACGATTTGCAATTCTCTATCAAATCCAACATGTACAAAGCTCCCAGTTACCTTTAAGGAAGACTCTATACTTACCAATCCTGCTATCTACAGACGACTTATAGGATCTCTTCAATATTTGACGCTTACTCGTCTGGATATTGCCTATAGCGTCAACTTATCATCTCAGCATATTCACAATCCACTCCCTCAACATTTCTTTCTACTCAAAAGACTTCTACGCTACATTAAAGATACGCTTGACTATGGTATACCTATTACTAAAATTAATCTTGTCCTTAAATCCTTTTCAGATGCTGACTGGGCCGGCAATCCTATATCTCAGAAATCAACATCGGGTTACTGTTCTTTTATGGGAGAAACGATTATCTCATGGACCGTTAAAAAGTAACATACCGTGTCTAGATCTTCAACAGAATCTGAATATCGTACACTTGTAGCTTTAACTTAGGATATCATTTGGATTTGAAGACTTCTAACATAATTTGGCATACCATAAAACTCTCCTACATATATGTACTGTTACAACACCTCTGCAATAGCTTTAACCAATAATCATGCTTTCATGTGCGTACGAAGCATATTGAAATAGATCAGAAATTCATATAGAATCACATGCAAACTCAAAGTATTCGTCTTCTTCCTATCAGTACGATTGATCAAGTGACCGACAACTTCACCAAATCTCTCTACACCAAGGTTTCATCAACTACGACCCAAACTAACGGTTACTCAAGCACCATCAGTTTGCAAGGGTATATTAGAGCATACTAAATAAATATTTCTGTATTTGTAATTTCTGTATAGGTAACGTGGATGTAGTCTATAGGTTATCTTGTAATGTAGCCAGTACTCTTCTCTTTCTTCATTATTCTCCATCACAGTCATCTTCTAAAACATCATGCAAGATAAAAACTACATGAATTCTAAGGCAGGAGAATAATATCTTATCTTTTGAAAAGTAAAACTTCTAAAACATATTTGCCTCTCAAAGTCCTCCATGAAAACAACATCCTTGCTTTTAGTTTTCTCGTATTTTCTCTTACACTTCTCTTCTTTCCTAAATTTACTTTATGTTGGAAGTATTTCCAATATGCTATTTTCGTGTTTTAGATCAATAATCAATATAGCTCCTTTCACGCCATTTGTCACTTTACTCTCCTTTTATAACTCATGTATTAATTAAAGAAATAGTTCATAATAATGATATTAATTTTATAGTAGTGCTATTATTTATAATTAATTAATAAATATGAATTTCTTTAATAATAATTGTACGGCTTGTATTTTATAGATTCTTTTAATGCAATTGAATGAGAAGAAAGTACACAACTCTCCTTGGCCTATTGGTTGAGAGCTTAGGCTTCCAACTAAGAGGTCCAAGATTCGAGTCTATGCGTATGCGTTGTGTGTGTGAGTTTGCCTTAAATGACCTAAATGTCCCAAAAAAAAAAGAGAAGAAAGTGAAGGTATTAGTGATGAAGGTTTTTCCAAAGTAGAACTTGCAATTTTTGGAATCAAAATGAAAAAAAATCTAGAAATTATTAAATCTAGCATTGTACATGAAAAAACCTTAAGTAATTTGATGAAAATATCTATTACTTGATTTTGCAACTTCACATGCACTACTTATATTTTTTTCTTGTGATGGATTCTCTAATGTAGTGCTAGTATGTATTGATGTGCATGTTTCTATGATTAAAAATTATTTTTTTAGCTGGCACTATTGTTGACTTGCTCTCGATATGAATCTTTATTGTCTCTTGATATTATGATAAATTTATTCCTTTAACAAGTTTCAAAGTCAAATTACATGACAAACACATGAGATTATGACTGCATAGACTTTAAAAATAGAAAGAGTAACAATCAATTATCCCTTTTGCATCTAGGTGAAAGCAATGTCTGCCATGAAAAACACAAACCCAATGGTACTCTATCATCCATGTCTCTGGCTCAGTCATTGTCATTATATCCTACAAGGTTGAAATCGTTAGATAAGGGAGTAAGTGAAAGTCATTTGTACCTTTGATAGAGTGTAAGGTCTCTTAAAGATATTTAAGTAGGTGTTTGTTGGACTCTTTGTGTAGTGACTAACAAGTCCAATAACATAATGAATAGTTGAATACCAAGCCTTATGATGCAAACAAGCGCAAAAATGCAAGCTAAGTGGACTTTTTAAAAAGTGCTACATAAATTATTTCCTCTTCATCATACATTTCATTAGTTTGGCTTCATATTCTATAGGAGTATTTATTAACCTACTATTATATATTCATATGCTAATGGAGGTGCAAGCAGAAATTTTTTTGATACGACTAGCTGGCTAGATTTTCAGTGCGAGTTAAAACTTTCATTTAAATGTTGACCATTTCGCTACTACAAATTGGTCAAATCGTACACATCATGCTCATTACTACAAAAAAATTAAATTAAATTTAGGTTCTAAAAATATAAAAATGACATGAAAAGCAATTTGAATAAAAATATATTTAATTTTAGTGATTTTTTTATAACAAATTGTCCATCACTATAACAAATCAACATCACTAGAACAAAATTTTTTTGATTAAATTTCACAAAATTTTCTTCATTTCTTTTAGGGAAATATTTTTAAAAGAAATTCTCCATCAAATTTTTTTT